ATAAAACATGAAGTTCAACCCTAAGTACATCTTTTCCAAGACAAGAACCCCAGGTACTTTGGAGATCAACTCTTTTAGTTACACATTCTTTACTTGTCATGACATGTATATAGAATTATATGTTGAATTTCTGCTGTACTGACTCAAAGCCAGCTTATTTTTAGGGACAGACTTTGTGTCTGTACATTGTGTATTACACTACTCTGTTGGCAGTCCCATAAAGTCCGTGGGACTGCTAATAGTTTAGCATTGTTTAATGAACGATAATACTGAGATGTTACAGAACGGGATTGGATTCGGCAGTGCTTGATATAATGTCTGCTTAAGTTGATGGGAAAAGAGGTTAGTCCCTCATGGAGAAAACAAGGAATTATTTAATTTGGTGCTTAGTTTTAAAATGTGAAAACCTAGAATTTAAAACAGAAAACCAAATTTTATGAAAAAAAAGAAAAATAAAATGCAATGCAAGAAAATCCCTTAAATGCATTGAGGGTTATAGTGCCTGTTTTGGAGGAACCAAGGTTTGAAGGTAAGTATATCAATGCAGATCATAGAAATTAACAATTTTTAAAACTCTTTACCCCCTATGTTTTAACTATAATAGATTGTTGAATGGTGCAGCTAGACCTAGTTTCAATATTCTGAGATAAAAGTCTTTGCTTGCCCTTGTGATTTGACTGTTCTGTTCTTTGAATTATTTTATTTTTTGCTTCTTTCTGGGTGGATAATTTTAGTGGTTAAGTAGTTGGTCATTTGGATTCCTTTGAGTTAATATAAGTGATGTACTTGTGGTTAAAAGAAGATACCATACATAACTGCAATCTGAATTAATGGCCATTGACTTACTCTTCTGCAGCAATGGCATACATACCATTACTGAGCATACATAGCATTAGAAGAAGCTTAGTGTTTAGTACATTATACTATGCTTGCTAAGCAGGTAGTAAAATTTCAAATGCTTTGTTCTTCAAAAATAGCAATTCTGAATCTGATGTCAGTGAGTCATAAATGCAGGTGAGTCAAGGTAGAGAGCACCTTTTGCTGTATGATAAAGTCACTTCAGTGACAGAAAAACCTGGGAGGAGTCTCTTTCTCTCTAGACCATAGATCAACAAGATAATCATCAGTTAACTGCCCTGCTGTGTCTGCCTGGGCAGTGCTGACAGAGGAGAGCAGTGACCTCCTGCAGCCACCCCCAAAACAGCTCTGCCTGCCTGCTGCCCACCTGCTGCCACCAAGGGCCTGACTGGAGCCCCTGGCTCGTGTTTCTGTCCCATTTTCTTGCCACTGGTATTTTGTACTTGAGGGGTGTGCCTAGCTAGCAAGATGCCATGCCTAGTGTTAAGCAGCTGGATTTCAATGGGTTGTTTAAATTGCTGATGCTGTCCTTCTAAAATTGTGATGCCTACTAGATGCAAGAAAACCCCAACAAACGCAATCCCAAAAAACCCAACAACAGTCAAAACTCCAAACCCCAGTAAGAATACTTGCACCTGGTATCAATATAGTTCACAATTTTGGTGGTTGTGTAAATACACCTTTAGATTTTATTATACAGAGTCTATAAATACTTAATCTTCATTCAAGAAAACCTTTGATTTAGTTGGTGCATACCTTGATTGTTGTGCTTTCTAAACTGATGGTGATCACCTCTGTTTCGGCTTTGTTAATCTTTTCCCTCGTCCTTTTCCACGTGCAGTATTTTGTAGATAGTTAGGACACAACTTGATTGTGAGTGGACATGTTTTTGCGTTGGCTGTAACCTATTCATATGGCAGAAATATTTCTGCAAAGAAAGTAAAATACATAAAACTAGAAAAAACTGTATCCTGTCTAATGTGACAAGATTTTTGTATAATTGTTTTTAACTTTCTTCTTCCATGAATATGTTCTAGAATGGTATTAGGGTATTGGAGCAGGCTCCCTCATGTTTCACTCAATAAATGCCTTTCCTTAAATAAAAAAAATGCTTTTACATTGAGAAATGTAATGAATGAATGTTTAGCATTGGTTTTGTATCATTTTCAGTGCAGTTGTTTTAAAATACTGTAAATTTATGGAAGGCTAAAATAAATGTGTGTAACTGTCTTGTGGAGAAATCCGTACATTCCTGCAGCTTCTGAGTGTGACTGATCGTCGTCCGTTGTCTTACATTGTGCAGCCCTCTGCTCTAATACCTCTTTCAAAGCATTCGAATCTGCCTCCTTACTCCCATCCCCCTTCAGCTCTCTTTGCAGTACCAGAGGGCACTGGTCATTGCCTCAGAGATACATGTCTTCTGGTTAATGCACTCTTTCCAAGCAGTGCAGGGGCTGTCAGGTAGCTGAATGGCATCCAGCTGCTGTGTTATGAAGCCCTTTGTCTAACGATCTGCTATTAAAGTTCCCGTGGAGGCTATTACTCATGTATTCTTCATGCTGGAAGAGTCTTTCCATTAAATTAACAGCTGTGAATAGGATTTGGATGGAGGTATTTTTTTGTTATTGTTTTTTTGACTCACTATTCTAAACATGTAGTTGCACAGAAATAGGGTTGTCTGTTTGCTTGTATCTGTTCAGAGTGGGAGTAAGTACAGGGTGCCTTACAGGTTATTCTGTTGAATATCATGCTCTCATTTTCTACCTTCGTATGTATATACCTGCAACCTGGTATTTGAGAAATCTTAATTTTGAACTTAAAATACTTAATTGAACTGAATTTATGAATACTACTGTGGTCCAAATTGAGGTAGGATTTACCAGTTGAACTGGCTTTGGACTAAGATGAATTATATGAAATTAGCACTGTACTTTCCTTCACTATGCAACATCCTCCTTCTGCTTGTCCACTCTTCTGTGTGGGAGAGCTGCTGTAGTGAGAACTGTGTGATGAGGTTCAGCACTGGATCCCAGTGTGATAGGGTGTTGGGGGAATAGCAGTAGCAATATTATTTAGGTTTTTCTGTTTTCCAGTAGCTGGATAGTATCTTTTTTGTAATATTTCTCCAGAACATTGCTGTTATGAAAAGTCTTTGTTCTTCTGTACTGAGATGTAGCCTGGGGTTTTCAGCTTGTAGATGTGCCGTAATATACTTACTGACAGTTGCTGATTTTGGGGCTTTTGTATGCATCACCAATCTGAAACTTTTACAGTTTTAGGGGTAGGTAAAGGAAAGGGAGTGGGAAAGTAGAAGTCTTGAGTTTAGGGAGAATTAGACAACAGATCGTGATTTATAGTTCGTAGTCTTAAATGTACATTTTAAAAAAAGTTTCATTTGGGCATACTTCCAGGATTGTTTTTTAAAGTCATTTTTTGTGCATATCAGCTTTTGCTGCAAAGTGGGCATAATGCAGATTGCTGAGTCATTGACCCTTATAACCAACAATTTATGGATCTTTAGCTTAAGCTTCCTACCAAGAAGCAGTAGAAAAGTGATTTTTTATATGAAATCACTAGGTGAATAAACTTGTTCACGAAGGAAGAGCTTTAATTTTTCTCTGGTATGTCTAATTTTTTATCATTATGTATGGACTTACAGAATGTGCTTGGCTGAGATTGATCATTGGTGTGTGAAATGACCAAATTATAACAATGGAGAGTTTTCTGAGGTGGGTAATATATTTTCATATGTAGCTTCCAGCGATGAGTTTAATACACTGAAGGCCACACTTTCAATCCTTCTGTTATTGAAATGTAGTGCTCTGATCGTTTTTCTGCTGAACTTCAATTTAGAGCTTCATCTGGAAAACATCCAAGCATCAAAGCAAAATAATAAGAATTTTCTTGGAATGCAGGAAGATCTTTAAGTATAGAATTAAAATATGCATCCAGAGCTTGAAAAAGTGCACAGAACACCTTAAAGGCTAAATCTGTAAGTTAGAAAGGAAAAGAGATTTAGTGACGTGTAATAGTTTGCTAACTTTGGGTACAAGAAGTAAACTTTTGCACTCTTCCTGTTTATAGCTTCATTTCCCATCTTGAGTCTTTTGGCTTTGCTTTAGCTAAAGGACTGTTACCATTTTACTGATAGATCCTCAAGGAGTATAATACTACTTGCAGAGGCCTGAATTGGTCCTCTGCTCCACTTCAAAGCCACCAGGTGAACTCTTCCAAATATTTAATCAACTGAGTTATGATACTCAAGCCACTTATGAATATGTTTAGTTAACTTTTCTGAGGTTTGGATTTGGGACTTTGTCAAGAAAAGCACATATGTGAAAAAAAAAGTATGATTAAAAGAAGTTTATGCACAGTTGAGAATCAGTTCTGGCTCCTTGGCATTTTAGGTATGACAGTGTATGGACTGCTTTTCTAGATACTGTTGTCTATCTAGAATAGGTTTTTTGCCAGTGTAGTAGTAGTTGTGGGAGGACAGTAGAGTGCATGTGGCTTCAATAGCATCTTTTCTGTTTTTTTGCACCTACAATTAAGGATAGTGTAAAAGTTGAATTTCAAACTGATTTTATTGAAAGAATAATGAAAGAAATTTCATCTATATTACCCAGGAACACCTCCATATATCATGCTGAAGTAATTATCTTTTTTAGGCTTCCCATGTCAGATTTTCCTTCCTTTGCAGTAGGTATGAACCTGTCAAACACAGATTTGGGTAGTTCTTGAATTGTTCTGGCAGCGTCAGCACGTGGTTTCAGTGCAATCTGCAAAATATATAGGAAGTTCTGTAAAGTGTAGACTTTCTAGGGCTTTTATTTGGCTTTATTCTACCTTCCCATGAATATTAAAATGTTCAGGAAATTTAGCATACTTTATTTGTCTCCTAGGCACAGTAAATTTTAACTGTAGCATGTGGAAGCTGTGTTTGATCCTACCCGCAAGCTCAGTCAGTATACCTGAAAAACCTGGTTACTGGCTGCAGGGGGGGAAGGGGAAGGCTCGTCAACTTAAATCTTAGCAGACATGGGGATTTCCTCCACCTCTTGTATTACAGAGGACTCTTCTGCTTGCTTTAATTTCTCCACTGTCTTTTCAGCTCAGCCCACACATTTTTCTCACTTTTCTAGGAATAGCTTCCCTAGATGGCAACACCAGCGGCTGACAGCTCTGTGCTTGTTACGCCTGGGGAAAAAGCCCTGGCTTTCTCAAAGCCCACTGCCTCTAGCAGCAATGAGCAGATACACTGTCATCGTTAGGAGATGTGAGTGGCAGGTATGTGGTAGTCTTGTCTCTGCATGGCTGAAACACTCATCAGCTGGAGCAGCTGAATGGATCCTGGTCTTGGATGAACATGATTTATTAGTACAGTGGAACAGTGTTTGTGCTGTGTGACGTATCCTAGTTGATGCTGCCATGAATTGTTTTAGGTGCTTGCAAGTATTCTCTCTCAGTTAGGGTGGAAATGCTCTTGATTTTCTTCCTTATACATAGAAATTTTGCAGAAGGTCTGGATTGCAGAAGATCTGGTTGCAGAATCCTCTGTACTTCCTTGCCATCTTTTCCAAGTCACAACCCCATTCTGGATGAATGGTGTATGTACACTGTCTCCTAAACAAATTTCGCTATGGAATATGCACATGTGAAGTTTGTTAGAGACTACAGGATCCACCCCTCTTGAGTAAAATTATTTTCCTGATTTCTATGTGTGTTTAAAAACACAATATCATGCGCAAAGCAGGTCTTCTCAACATTTACTACTTGCTGTTAGTTTTCATCCTAGGGGTAAGAAGGTGTGTGTTAAGATAACTTAGTTTCAAGAGGCGATATGAGGTTAAAAGACAGTAAGGTAAAGCTGAGTGTACCAGCAAAAAAAGTAAATGTTTCTCTGTATCTAAGTCAGAAAATAACACGATCTGGGGTTCCATCCTTGAAAGGAAAAAGAAAGGAGGAAATTCATTCTGGTCATGTAATGTTGTTTGATTTCAGTTTGCTAATCTGAGTTTTCTGTCTTAGAAAAGAAAGATCATTTCATCTCAGATTGCAAATAGTGGAAAATAGGCATCTCTGGAAAGTAAAAACTATCATAGAAGGATGAATTAGTTGCTTTCTACCTACGGCACAGGACTCACTCATTTTGGCAACAGCAAGATGTTTAGTTCAGCTCCACCAATTTTTTTTGAAATTTCACTCTAATTTGCTGAGCTTAGAGAGACCGTGATTATTTCAACCAGCAGGAGAGCCTTATTTCTTTTTCAGGTTTAAAAGAAATCTGTTTGCTAATTCTTCTGTTATTTTTTTGAATGTTACTTCATCATGTGCACCATTAAATTTTGTATGCAGGAATGGGAATAAGTAATTATTTCTTCTTCAGTTGGTTCACACTGGAATAGCCATAAAACTCTTGATCCTGATTCTTTGCTGTTTTGCAGCTTGTAAATCATGCATTTTGTGCTCCAAGTGTTTGTAAAATTCTACTATTGATGTTGATGTATCATTTCTACTTCAGTCTCACTTAAGGCAAGTGTAAATAACTTTACAGAGTTGCAAAACAGTAGGGAAATAAGCCTGCACAAGCAAATGCATCAGATTTATTTTCTGGGGCAAATGAAGAGGTTCTTTGAAGCCTGATCAAAGCCCAGGCTCTCCAGTTGTGCGCAGTATAAAGCTAGTGGTGTTTGAGGAGAATTTGTTGGCTTCAGGAGTTTTGGTTTTGTTTTGTTTTTCTTTATTTTTTATTAGGGCTTTATATCTCTGGAACCCATATTCAACATATTTCTGGAAATGACAAGTGTACTGCCATATGGTATGCCAGATTTCAAGCCACTCTGAGGTGCATGTGTGAATTTTAGAGTGCCTGGAAGAAATGAATGAAAACCACATTCTCAATTTTATCTATTGCCGAGCTCTGTAGGCAGAGGAGGGGGGAGGCTTTGAAGTACATTCTGCTGGAGGGATTGTGTGCTTACTTCTGAGCCACCATCCTAATGCAGCAAGCTGTAGGTGTAATTTATGTTTCAAAATATGCACTAATTTCAGCTGGACTGTCAGTTTATTCTGGGAGATGATAAGAAATTCATGGCTAGGCTTCGCGTATGAAGATTTGGGAAGGGCTCTACCCACATTTGTTACAAGCGCGATTAGGGCAGAGTGACGCTCAGGACATCCACTATCTGCAGTATCAAGCATGGTTCTGATTATCAAGCATGGTTCTGATGTTCCAGCACCTTTCACCTGCTGTTTCGACCCTTGCCCGTTGCTACAGGGCTTTACAAATGTGGGTGAAACCTTCAAGCCTGCGCAGTGGATTTGTTAGGTGAGACACAGTATGCGCGGAACTGGACCCACCCTTTAATCTTAAGGTTCATCTGTCAGGGCCGAGCGAGCTTGAACGGTGGCAGCGAGGTCCTCAGGACGTAGGTTTAATTAGAGTATCCTTTGGTAAGAAATACTGAGCATCCTTTTGCTACTGGCAAGTGTTATCATTTTCAATTCTTCATTTCCAACCCTTTTTGTGCCTAAACTTCTCTTTCAGACTAATGCCTGAACTTAATTCTTACGTATTGTTTAACTGTTTTTTTATATGTATGCTGTGTCTCCTTAAAAGGTTCTGTATTGATTGTACTTCGAGTAGATTTTTTTAAGCTTTTGTTGGTTAGTAAAAGCTGAGGAAGCATTACTGAAGGTATTTGTACCAGGGTTATTTTTAATCCTGGAGACTTTATGAAAACTTTTTAAATGCAGAAAAGATGTTTGGGGAAATTGTGTCAGGTTTTAGTTAGAAAAAGCATCTTCTCCTTGCAGAGGGCAAACTAATAAGATAGTTCCTTATTACGATCAGTTGTGTTCATGTAAGCTTACACAAATTCTGTGAATTTTCTCCAGAATCAAAGACAATTAATTTTGAAATTTTCTTTACATAGAAAGAGGGGGGGAACCTACTTGTGATTAGTATTTTGCCACAGTATTTGCTTTGCTGGTAGAATTTGTTAAAATTAATTCTCTCTTCCTGTAGCAATAAGAGAGTGTTCACAGGGGAAATCATATTACTCTACTAAATCCTTTCCCCAGTTTTTTCTTTTAAAAAGTGTTGTACCTGGATACAGTAATTGTTCATAACCACTTCCAACCCACAGCCTTTATGCTCTTGTATGAAACCTCAAGGCTTTTGATAAGATTCTGAGTTTCTTCCTTGTTAGATCATCTCCATGGTTCAATTTAACTTGCTGTGTGCCAGTTAATTGCCATTTCTGACCTTGAATGAAAGCATATGTTGTGTACTCCACTTGTAACAAAAATGTGATGGCGAAGGAGTGGTCTTCAGTGATGTAAAGCAGCAGTTTTTACATGTGTTTATAATTACCAACATTTCTGATGTTCTCACATAGCCTTCTGGTGGAAAAATGTTTTCATTCTTACTGGAAAATACTGATACGTTAGGTCTGTGTTAATTGATTAATTAGTTGACAAGGATGAATCTTCTTGTGAGAGTCAAGGAGTAGGAACTCTGGTTCTTGCAGGTGGCAGGCAGGAGGGCCAGGAGCTGCACTTGGGATCTGTGTGTGTGCCACCCTGCTCCAGGCCATGGAGCAGCTCTTTGGTGAAAGGACATGGTCAGCAGCATGAATGGATACAGGATGGGAGCTTTGTGATGCTGATAGCATGTCCTTTTGTGGGGGACAGTGGGCAACTGTTGGAAAATTCATGGAGTTTTGAAGGAGGTGAAAACTATATCCTTTCTTTCTGAATGTTAGTTTTGGGTTTTTTTCTTGGTGCGTGAAATATTTCCAAATGACCTTATTCTTTCTGAGACAAAGGATTCTTTCAAAATAATGTCAGCAAACTTTTTTTATACAAAACCTCAGTTCATATATGTATTCCACTTTAAGAGTTCGAGAGTATAAATAAAACAGTCCACAATAATAATAAGTCATTGTTCTTTACTTTTGAAATTCGGTAACACTGTATGTATTAAGCATGTATTCAGTGTAATGTTTATTCGAGATCAGGAATTTGGCACTTCTGAAATGCAATTTCTGTGTGTTTTGGTAGGAATAAAATAAAAAGACATTTTAGGGTTTTTAGCTTTACCTGCTTTACATGCAAAACAATCTCAAAGCATAAGGTTCTATGTCAGAATGGTAATACACTTCTCAAATTGCCATCCATACAGAAACTGATTTTGAAATGGTTTAAGAGGAGTATTACTACACTTTATTTGTTAGTCCTCTTTCTTCATACATTTGTTTGGAATCTCTTCTTCCACTTTTTCTAGAAATCCTGTGTATATTCATATAAAGAAACCTAAATAAGAGACAGTCACAAAATGGAACACATAGCGAGCCATTTGAAGAATCCCTATATGCTAAACCTTTTCATCATGTATCTCTGACTTGGATCTAAATTAGCAACAAACATTTCCCCAGTTCTTCCCTTCTGAAAGACCGACTCTAATTCATTAGTATTTTATCTTTCAGGATTACAGTTTAAGCTGTCAAAGGCAAAACCCTAGCTAAAACCTGAGATCTTCTAGTGTAAAACTCAGTGTAGATGGACTGTGTTTCCTTTATTGTGTATAAATTTTCTTGAATGTATTATCTCTGAAATTTCAGTGTATCAAAAGCAATGTCTGCACCGAAGCTATTACTACCTAACCCGTGTTTTCTGTCAAATTGTTCGGAATACTGTAATAATTGATGGTTGTTTGTCATCAGCTTGAGAAAACTAAACTCTGCATAGCTCTTCTGTGTGTATTTTTCCTTCCCTGTCTGTGCAGGGAATTGCTAATTGCTTAAAAACTTTCTGCATCGGTTTCAATTTTGTTAGTTTTATATTTCAGCTGTTCTTGTCCTGCTTCTTTCTCTGCTTTTGACTGCTCAACCTTCTCATGTGAGTTGTCACACCAGTCTCCCAATCTTTATTGTACACAAGGCATGGTGTCTTTGCCAGACCCTTTCTAAAAGACTACATCTGCTATCCAAGCTCTCGCTTTGAAGACACCAGCAAGGAGCAATGTGGCAGATCCCTCTGAAATGAAATTAAGTTGTGATTGCATGTCCATCAAAGCTTTAAGCTAGATATTGCAGGTAATGACACTAATGAAGATGTGATAGCATGGTCTAGCAATCAAAATATATCCCTGGTAGATTTGTACTCTCATTTACATGTTGGTACTGTTTGGAGAAGCTCTGTAGACCTGAAGCAGAACTCTTGCTGCCCTTAGGCCATCAATTTACACATACTTCTGGTTCTGCAAGTTTTCTTTGAAATGATAG